CACTTTCTTATAGTTATTCATTTTCCTGGTCCCTTATTTAAGTTTTCTAGATTCCTGCTATGAGTGAAACCATCCGGTATTTTTCTTTTTCTTTCTGGCTTATTTCGCTGAGCATGATCCCTTCCAGCGCCATCCATGTTGCTGCAAATTGCATGTATTTATCTTTTTTGAATGCTGAGTAATATTCAATGGTGTATATGTACCACATCTTCTTAATCCAGTCATCTATTTTTGGGCATGTGGGTTGTTTCCAAAGCTTAGCTATTGTAAACAGTGCTGCTATAAACATAGGGGTGCAGGTGCTCTTAGGAATTGATGTTTCTGTGTCCTTTGGGTAAATACCTAGGACTGGAATTGCTGGATCATATGGAAGCTCTATGTTTAGTAGGTCCAGAAATCTCCACACAGCTCTCCATAGTGGTTGGACCAGTTTGCACTCCCACCAACAGTGCAGGAGAGTTCCTTTCTCTCCACATCCTCGCCAACATTTGTTGTTGCTAGTTTTTTTAATATGTGCCATTCTCACTGGTGTAAGATGGTATCTCATGGTAGTTTTGATTTGCATTTCCCTGATTACAAGTGATGTTGAACATTTTTTCATATTCCTGTTGGCCATTTGCATTTCCTCTTCAGAGAGGTTTCTTTATAGCTCTTCTGCCCATTTTTTGACTGGATTATTTTCTTTGTTTTTGTTGAGTCTCATCAGCTCTTAGTAGATTTTTGTGATCAGTCCTTTATCATTAGTGTTGTGTGCAAAAATGTTCTCCCATTCGGTGGGGTTTCTTTTTGTTTTAGTTATTGTCTCTTTTGCTATGCAGAAGCTCTTTAATTTGATGTAGTCCCAGCTGTTTATCTTTGCCTTCACTATCACTGCTTTGGGTGATGTGTCTGTAAAGATGTCTTTGATGTGCATATCACGTAGTGTTTCGCCTATATTTCCTTCTATGTATTTTAAGGTTTCAGGTCTTATGTAAAGTTCTTTAATCCATTTTGAGTTGGTTTTTGTATATGGTGTGAGGTAGTAGTCAAGCTTCATTCTTTTGCATGTAGCGACCCAGTTTTCCCAGCACCATTTATTGAACATGTGTTTGTGTGTTTTTGTGCTCATTTTATATTCCTCTTTGCTTGGTTTTAGAATGTATATGACTTAAACTCCATGTAGTTACAATATGACTGGTCAGTGGTAAAGTCATAGGATGGTCAAAATTACAAGGGACAGCAAGACACAAAACTTTAACTTGACTGAATTACTTGTCTACTTTTTTAAATTTTAGGTCTTAGAATGACTTATTTAGCTTTAGCTAAATAAATCTCTTCTCTTTTTAGAAGAGAGCACAAAGGTCCTTACCATTTAAGTTTCTTCTGCATCATAATTAAAGATGTAAAGATTGGGTAACAATGGCAACAAAATTCTGAGTCAGCAATCACTAGATTTTTAATTTAAAAGAATGATGTTATTACATATATTATCCTTTGATACATTTATTGCTGTAAATTTTCCTTTCAGAACTGCTTTTGCTGCATCACATAAGATTTGGTATGTTGTATTCCATTTTCATTTGTTTTGCAGTAACTTTATTTCCATTTTGATTCTTCTTTGACTCATTGTTTGTTGAGAATTGTGTTACGTGGTTTCCATGTATTGTAGATCTCACTTTCCTCTTGTTATTTCTGGCTCCATACCATTGTGGTCAGGAAAGAGTTGGTTTTGGTCTACTATCTTTGTACTAGTTCCTTTGTAAAAATTAAAGGTTTCTTCCTTCACTGCAATTATCTTTCTATTCATGGTAGTACCAAAGCTCTTTGTGTAAATTGTTTTCAGGATCTTTAAAAGAATCATAGCTCTCTTGAAAGAAGAAAAATATTACTTTAAGGTTGTCTATTTTTTCTAATGTCTGAGATTTAGTTTAGATTTACACAAATATTCTGTTCTTCCTACTTAGAGACTTATGCATTTACTCATTAATTTTTCAGCTCATTTATGAAACCTATTAGAAATATCCCCATAAAAATAAAGACCAAGACCAAGGCATTGATGGAATTCTTCAGTGTAGTGTTCTCCAGGGTAATAAGACTAGCAAAAGAAAAATTATAAACATTGGGAAGAAAGAAACAAAATTAATTACTTGCTGATGACTGATAGCTGAGAAAATTAATAGAGGTTACCAATTTTTTCTGGTTAAACAATGTGTAAAAATTAATTCCATTTCTGTTTATTAGCAACACACTGAAAAAAATTGGAGACATTATTATGCAAATAAAATTATGAGGTAGTTAATAAAAATGAATAAAAAATAGTATATACTCTTCATTTTCAGAATCTTAAGTAAATGAGCTAAATCATAAGTATAGACAGTGAGATTTAATATGATCAATTTTTCTCCAACTAATGTGTATATTTAATGTAATATAATTCTAACGTCTGTTTGTGTGAACATAACAAACTGATTGAATAATTTTACATCAGAGAAGAATAGCCCAAGAATAACCAGGGTAGTTTTGAAGAACAGCAGCAAATTGGTGTAATCGTTGCCCAATTAGGATTAGTATTCAAATGAAGCTGTAGGAATTTAGTCATGGTAACACTGTGTGGGGTAGACAAATAGAACAGAGGAAAAGAACCAAGACCCAAAAGACAGACTCACTACATTTATGGACTCTTAAACTGTGTGGCATTGTAAGTCTGTGGGCAAAGAAGCCACTATTTTTAAAAATGAAGCTGCAAGGCCTCCCTGGTGGCGCAGGCCATTGAGCGCTGCACTGTGAAGCTGTCCACAGCCTCTGCAGCTCAGGTTTCATCTCAGCCAGCTGGCAGAATCCCACATGGTATGGCAGACCTCTCCTGTCACGCCCACTGCTCCCCTCAGCAGTGTATTTCAGTAGATCTGCCTGTTTTGCTCCCTGCTCTGTCTCTGGTGAATACTCTCACCCTCCCACGCATCTGGCCTGTACCCCGGTTCTTGTATAAATAAATAAATCTTTAAAAGATATAAAAATGAAGCTGTAGTGATTGATTATCCATATGGAAAAGATAAAATTTGGATATCTGTCTTATAGTTACATAAAAATGAAGTGTGTTAAAAACTTCAATGTAAGGAGTAAAGACATAATTTTTTAGAAAATAGTGCAAAAGAATTTCTTTTAGTCCCTTTTTATATTTACTCAAACTATATTATATTGTACATATGATTTTAAAAAAAAGCATTAACTATAATGCAACAATGGCATATTCAGCTGTGTTAAAATCTGAATCTTTTATTAAAAAAAGAATATGTAAAAATCTATAGACTGGAAGTTGGTATTTTCAACACATATAATAGAAAAGTCTTTATTTCTCTACTTTTGTTGTGGCAAAAAAACAATAAACACATAGCATAAAATGTTCCATCTTGGAATGTAAATATTTCTATAGTACTTTGAATGTCTAAAGACATAGATGTGCAATAAGCTATATAAATGATTTCCATGTTAATTAGGGAGTGCCAACTAAATCTACATTAGGATGCCATTTAGTCTCACCAGTTTGGCAGGTAAACAGTTGATAGCGTACACTGTTGATATTGATGTGGAGTTACAGGCACTCTTACATGTGTAGGAAGGAGTGCACATTTGGTGTGACCTCATTGGAGAACAATTGGTTGGTTTCAAAGTTAAAAATGGTTGACTCATCATCAATGAGTCCTATCACCCAGCAATTCACTTAGACAGTGTGTTGTCTTATGTACCAAATGATAAGAAAGCAAGGTTTGTAACAGCATTGTTTGTAAATGTAGAAAGAAGGAGAAAGTGGGCTTCTGGAATCTTATTCAACAGTGGAAATTGAGGAACCCAGAGGTGAACTTAGCTAAAGGCATAATATAAAGCAAAAAAAAAAAAAAAAAAAAAGATTTTCAGAAGAATTAAATTAATTATTTTTATAATAAAATCTAATGTTATACAAACCTAAGTACTATCATGGATATATACCTATATAGTAAAACTAAAGAAAAGTAAATGATAAACAGAGTTCCGATAGTGCTTACCTCTGGAAAAAGAAATGGGATTACAGACATCTTAGAAACATTTTATTTCTTAAACTTATTGGTTGATATATGGTTGATAATTTTGTCATTCTTTTTACTTTATAATATAATAGAAACTGGTATTTAAATAATTGGTATTTAAATAATTGGTATTTAAAAAACATTTCTGAATGTTAAAAGATTATTCTAATTGCAACATATGGGACATAGAATGAATTTAGGGGGTCCAAACTGAGAAGTTATTTAGGCACCTGGAAAAGCTGACTGTGTCTCGAACTTAGGATACCGAGTGAGGAAGGTAAAGGAAAGAATGAAATGAATTTGAGAACAGTGTATTAAAAGAGCGAGTAAGGCTAGGGGGTGGGCTGGATGGGGAGGTCAGGGTGATGAGTGAGAAGTAAGGATCAAAAGTGACACAAAAGCCTTTGTAACATTTAGTGTCAAGAAGATGACTTTATTCCCATGCAGACCAAAAGAATGACAGTTTTTGCCCCTTTGAAGCCTATTCCCAGAATGTTCTTCTCTCAAATGAATAATTTAATACCCTCAAATTAAAGAATGATGAGAGGGAAGTATAATTTAAACAACAACTTGTAAAATATTCACAATTTTTATTGTGCCTGCACAAATTGTGTGTATGTAATTGTGGTCAGAACTTTTAGACAATGATTGTATATTGTGATGTTTGTCTTTAGTTTTGTTTGAGAAAACAAAAATAAGAGAATCACTTCAAGAGAGCAATTACTGGGACTGGAACTGAATGATACATTGATATCTAACCATTATTCTTGTTAGAACAAACACCCAAAAAAAGGTAAAATGACATTTATTGTGTATAATACTAAGCATCCTATATTTAGTTTTCTATTTTATATATAGCAATAAATTAAAATTATGACAGTGCTACACTAATTAAAAGTGGCACATTGATTACTCCCATTTACCTGAATTTGTCGCTTATCTGTTTATTTCTTTGAGTGTGGGCTACAGATTTGTCGAGGATGATACCTGGCTGACTTCAACCTACTCAAGTTGCACCATTTCAAAGAGACTGCTGCTACTGGAGTCTGATTTCTACTGAGACTGATTTCTATTCTTTGTTTTTATACAGAAGTGATAAATATATTGCAAATTAAGTGTAATTTTCTTCCTGTAACATACTGTCTTATTAGAACAAGCAAACAGCTAACAAGTGTGATAAATTGCCAGGTACATCATAGCAAACATGCTTTTTTTTTTAACATAAAGCATAAAGACTATTTCTAAACCCCATTTTATATTTTGTATATTAGCTCAATTACATTTTATTATTATTTAATGCACTTATGGTTTTGTTTATAATATCCATTTTAATATGTAATATATTTGTCAAGTGGCTACTCTGTGTTGTATACACTGTCTAGTTGATAGAGATGTAGTGAGTGAAACATACAAAATACTTGCCTTAATGGAGCCTGTGTTAGAAATGACTTTTGGGGGGGTACATATACAAAATTATCATTATATTTGACTGTCAGTCAAACATTTCCTTACTAAACAAAATATTCTTTGAGCCCCTCAAACTGTTTTGAGTTGCAAGCACATGGACCAAACTTATAAAAGCTGACAAGGTAAAAATGTTCTGATACATCATATACCTAATACAAAGGGTATATTGTGACTCTAGTTTCTAATTTCCAGAAGGAAGCTTCTTACCTGAAATATTCATGAGGAAAAACGGTGCCTTCATGTTCTTAGTAAACTCCTGATTTCTTTGTCATCCTTGCTACATCAGCAGAGTAGACACTGGGAGGCTAAGCAAAAGAATGAAAGATGGCTAGAGAGAAGAGTAATTTAGAGGGTCAGGGATGCTATCAGACAGACCTGGGGACTGAGTGTTTGATAGTTTGGGAGGCAGTGACAACAGAGAATGAGTGGGGAATGATAACCATGGTTTGAATGGGCCATTTGTGGGGATGGAATGGCATTTACTACATGGAGTTTAGGAGGGATTGCTTCTTTACGGGGTATGGGTGCAAAGCCTAGTGAGTCAAAATCTAATGTAACAATAGCATGTCCAAGTGGAGAGGCCTGTCAGCCATCATCAATGAGTCTGAAGCACAGAAAATAGATCAAGGCTGGGGCTCTGTAGATTAGGTAATTATCAGCATAGAGAGAGAGAGTGCACAGTAAGCCCTGGATATGGACAACATCAAATGGAGAATTTGCTTGGTAAGATGAAGGAAATGTAGGGGACCAAAAAGAATATTTAAGCAGTGGTCACACATTGGATCACCAACTTTTTTTCAAGTACCAGCAAAAAACTAAAATCTTAAATGTATTGTTTTCTTTTCCTCATCTACTACTGCAACTACAACAGTACAGTGTATTACTTCTCTTTTCTGGTGTTTTAGGGCTACATTGACTGTATGGTAGCTTGCAACATCATTTATAGAACATTTATTTTGGATGTGTGAGTTCCCAAGTAACAAACTACTAAGTGGGCTTTTAGCATAAAATTTATGTGAAATTTGAGGACTTCCATTTTGAAATTGCTTGATTTTTAGAGCAGATTCTTAAGCTGAGATTGCTGTTGTTGTGATTTTATGTGCAAGGGAAAGTGACCACTAATTTACCAGTTGGGAGATGGAGTGCAAACAGTGGTAACCCCAGCTGTTTATATAGTGTGCTCATCCCAGATTAACTTTCAAACATACCTCCTAGCCCTGTGGAAGGGTGGGAATAAGGAGCTGAAATCAGTATCAGAGAAATTTTGAGAGTATTCTTATCAATATATACTGTATGAAGGTTTTTTTTTTTTTTTTAAATAGTCCCCAAAAGAAGAAAGATAAAACCACCAACTATGAGAAGACATCATTGCTATACACAACTTGGGTGTTAAAATTTTATTACTGCTAGAATTTACTTTCTTTCTTGTTTACTTGATAGTCAATTTTGAAGAATCATTCTTTAAAATATGTAGATGAGTATACATCTGTAGAATCCATGTAGATAATCGACATTTGTAGATCTAAGCAGATTAAAAATTGCAGTTTCATATTTTTAGTTTTCGCATTTCAAAGCTTTACATAGATTTCACAATTTCAGTTCCATGTTAACATAAGATTGTATCACAGCTTGTTAACCTTATAACATCAGTGTTAATGATTTTATTTTAAAGCTTTAATCTTAAAATAAATTGCAAAACAAGAGGATAAGAAAAAAAGTCTATTAAATAATTTCTACTATCTATATTAAAATGGAAATCAGATTTTTTCCAATTAGTTATCTTTAAAGTATTATACTGATGAGATTACTTAGTCTTTATGTAGAAATCTGAGATCTGCTTCTGACCTTTGCTATTCTTACCACATATTTGTTCAGATGTTGGTTAAAGAATGGCATAAAAAATCCTTTTTATGTGTAAAAAAATACTAACAGTAGAACTAGAGTGGTTAAAAATTCCATCATTCTTTCTCCAGAGATTCAAACTTAAATTATTTGGTAAAATTCCTCATTCCTTCTATTTCTCTTTTCTTCCTCTTTCTACTTTTACTTGTGTTCTTATGCCCTAGCTCTTTGGAAACGAGCCATAGTTCTTTGTATGGAAAAACTCTTACTTGAATGAAGGTACTAGTAGCCCAGGTTGTACTGGTTTGGAGTATTTGATGTTGTTGCTAAGCAAATGTTAGGTTAAACAAAACAATATTTATTTTTTTCTTTATCTTATATGTAAAGACCATATGGTGCATATCTAAAAACACCTAAGTGGTTAATTGCATGTTAAATTCCTTTCCTCTTTGGCTACATAAACAACTGAGAAAATATTTACCTTCTCTGTCATGCTGGATTTATTTATGACTTTGTAACTAAAACACAGAAGTGTTATAAATTGAAACTTTAATCTCATGATTGACTCATTTTCTAAAAATTTATATGGTTTCAGTTTGTGGGACAGCTGCAACTCTAGATTTCACTGATTTAGAACATGAGGAAATTATATGACTACCCGGGTTGTTTTTATAATGTAGTCCTTTAAGCCAAGTACCCAACTTTCATTTTTGTCTCAGTTATTTTGAACAGTGCTGTACTTTTTTTTTTTTTTTTATTGGTTGCCATATTCACATAGAAATGAAAGTCCAGGATATTAGAAGTTCTTTCTTTTCTGGGTAGATTTTATATTTTAAATAATACTCTGTGTCTTTTAGATTTTAGACAACTACATTTTAGGAAGTTTTTTTCTTGGTGATTCTGTAAGGTAAAATGTGTTCTCATGTGATCTGTGAGCAGGCACAGGGAGCTCACTTTATTCATGAGTTGACTGTTCACAGAGAGACTTGTCACAATTTCTTTTTACCTTTATGCCTTATGACCAATGGGGACTCCCAAGGGCAACATTAATAACACAAGGAAGGCTCTGCTTGGGTGATATTACTTTAAAAATTTAATCATATTTTAAGCAGTTGACATATGCACAAGATTAAAAATCATAAGGCATGTAAGTGTTTGCATTGTAAAATCCCCCTCCTACTCCAGTCTTCTTGGCCCTCTGCCCCTTTGCCTCTAGTCACCCTGGGTTTCAGTTGTTTTTCACACAGTGACTTGAAGATAGAATTACTTCTGTTACATGTAAAGATAAATCAAATCTGCAGTTCTCAGTAACTCCCTTTTCTCCCAGATAAGATAAATTATACTAAACAATTTCAGTTCCTACCTATGAATATACCCTTATCTACTTTTCCTCTCTGAGATCTGCACAGGCATCAGTGAGATCTTTTCTAAATACGTCTCTGACTATGACACTCTACCAAGCTTTAAAACCCTCAGCAGCATCCATTTAGCTCTAAAGTTAAAGGCCAAAGACCTTGGCTGCCCTTGAGTTCTGTCTGCTCTGATCACTCCAGTTTCATCTAACTAAACACACCCTGCTTCCTTTGGCACCAGGTTCTTTGTATTTGTTTTTCTCTGCCTGGAGCACTCTCTCTTTTCTCCTCATTTTACCTCTGCAGGAAATGTCACTTTTCTAGACAGGATCAGCTCCTCTGTTAAAGATTCTCACAACCCTGGGGTCCTCCTATTCATGTCATCATCTTGGTTTACAATTTCTTGATGGCATTTGATTAATTTGTATCTTCCTAATGGGAGTAAAATTCATGTATAAGCAAGGTCCAATCTGATTTATTCATGATTTCTTCAGTGCCCTGACAGTTACTTGTGCATGTCAGGTGCCCAACAAATAGTCACTAAATATTAAAAAAATTTTTTTTGTTGTGGTATAGCTACACAGTCTGCAGAAATCCTAATATTCAGGGTTGGTCTCACTCAAAACGTATGGTGGGATGATGAGGAAAGTTCAGAGTCTGTCATACTGGAACAAATGGGAGTTGAAGAGAAAGGCCTGGAAAAATGAGATGTTTTCACAATACTTGCAGAATAGAAGTATAATATTTTCTTTGTTTGTTCCTGGTACTCTGAGTGATGGCACAGGCCACGATACTCATTTAGTTTTGCACTGAAACTAAGAAGCCTTCTAAGCTTTGATTTATGTTGTGGAAACAGAATAGAGTAAGGATTAAATAATTTACCTAAGAGGTCACATAATTATTAGTATACCTATTGTGTGACTTTTGGACTGGAGCACTCCCTTATTATGCTAATTGACTGTCATGAAATAAAATTCAAACTAAATAGACAGTTAAAAAGGAAAAATAAGTTGTAAGAAATAATGTATACAGGCAGATCTCTTTCTTTTGAAGTTAAAAAAAATGGGAAAAATCACAAATGAAAACAGCAATAGATTTGATTCCTTGAATTTCTTTAAGAAAACATGAACAAAATTCACAGACAAACAAACCAGATTTGAGAAATTATAACATTTACATCAAATGGTTTATATTATTGCTGCACATGTTGCTCACAGAAGTATAGCAAACATAAGACAAGAACAACAAAATCCCAGCATGGATGTACATTTATATATTTATGTACACCCACGTATACATGAAATTCTTTTCCTTTCCCAAGGCAAAAAATATGCAAGTGGAATTAATGGTGAAATAATCAGTAAATATTTTATAAAAAGACAACATACTGGTGGAATTTTTATATTTGTTCATAGGTGGATAAGGTGGTTTAGCAGGAGGAATCAAGAATATGAAGCGCTAACGTATCTCTTAAGCAAATAATGTAACATTTAGAAATTTATTCTAAAGAAATAAATAGAATGCCAAATAAAACTTTATACCTGATAATCATCACATTTGCAAAAAATTGGAAAGAGCCCAGCATTCAAAGAATGGTTAAGCAAACTGTGGTGCGCCCATGTGGTTGTCATTAGGCCTGTTCTCTAGCATTTCACTTCTATCTCTGGCATATGGTAGAATTGCACTTTCTTATTCCACACAGTTAGCTGTAGAGAGGTGACTTGACTGGACCAAAGAAGTAGAGCAGGAGCTATGTCTCATTGTTGAGCTGCAGTGTAGAAGAGCTCTGGGCCGTTGTTTGCATTTCTCTCCTCTTGGCCCAGCAACAATGACATACCTCATGCCCTAAGAGCATGGGCATGAGAGATGATTTGAGAAGAGCCCCTTAGCCTGAGAGCAGTATGCTGTCTTCTCCAGGTCAAATCTTTATGGCTTTAAGCAACATGGATGGAGCTAGCAGGGATCATTCTCAGTGAAATAAGATGGAAAGAAAAAGAAAAATATCAGATTGTTTCACTTAATGGAGGAATGTAGAGGATCCAAATAAGGGATCAGGGAAAAAAAGTAACTCTACTAAAGTAAAAATCAAAATCAACAGGCAGCTATAAACCAGAGACACACTGCATGGGGGGAGAAGGGAGGAGGATCAAAATAGGGGTGGGAAGAGCACAAGGGACTATGGTGATGGTGCACGGGTGAATGGGTGGTGGGAATTTCACAGGGACTATAACTGAGATGAAAATGCATACATTGTACAAAAATGAAAAATGATGTAAAAAATATATCTAAAAAAATCTTTGCTGCTTTGAAGTCACTGAAACTTTTAGGGTTCATGTCATTGCCTTGTAATTTAATATGTCCTGACCCATACAATTTATATAATTGCCATTAAAATTTACAGAGTTTTCTTAAAATCAAGTGACATGGATATTAAATTTTAGATAATGTGATTTCACGTTTTAAAAACAGACTGCAGAGAACTTCAATATATATCAATGAATATTCATCAAGTAGTATGGGTAAGGGCTGCATTTCATTTCAATATTTTTTATTATATTTTAATTTTTCTATAATAAGCATATATTCATCCTAAAATCAGAAGGACACACACACACATCCTTATAGTTGACTTCCTATGACATGGGCATAAGTTCTCTAACTATAGAAGTAAAGAGGACAATATGGGTCCTCACTATGTGGACAACCCACTGAGATGAAGCATCAGGACCACACTCAAATTAGGTCCAGAGTAGAAATTCCCCTTCCCAACAACTTTAGTTCTAGATATAACATTCACTCTCCTAGGGGCCAACTACTTTCCCTCTCTTCCTTAAGTTTTCCTTGGAGGTAAATATGCAAACTCTTGCTTCAGAAAAGATGCATTCTATAGAGATGACTTGTGTGTGGTGACCAGGCTCTTCAGAAAAACTCAGCAGTTTTTCAATGCAGAGCTTTGTATAGAAGTTCCATAGTGCAGAACATGAAAGAAACAAAATGTGTTCTTTGCCTGGATAATATGGATAGTGAACTTGGCTACTGTATCCTTAAATTTCTAAAAGTGGGATTGCTCGTTGAGGATATGCAGTTTATATTCTAGTACATGTTAC